TTCTTTTGTTTTTTTTTTCTTTTTTTCTGTGGGTTGGGGTGTTTAAAAAAATTTTTGAAAATTTTTTTTTTTTTTTTAGGCAGGTTGTTGCTGGCCTGGAGCTTGCTATATAACCCAGACTAGCCTCAAAATCCTAGGATTACAGGTGTGTACAAACAGGACCAACTGAAAAATCATGTGTGCGTTTTCATGTGTATTTTCACATATGCATGCTGGTGTGCATGCATGCACATCAAGTCAATATTGGGTGTCTTCCTTAATCAACTCTCCATCTTATTTTTAAGACAGGGTCTCTCACTGGACCTGGAGCTCACCAATTCAGCTAGACTGGCTGAACAACAAGCCACAAGAGTCCTCCTGTCTCTGCCTTCCTAGAACTGGTATTACAAATGCTCACCTTTGTGCCTGACTTTTTTTTAATGATTTAAAAAAATATTTTTTTATTTTATTATTTTTATTTTATGCGTATGCACGTATTGCCTGCATGTAGGTAAGTGCACCTGTGTCATGCAATGCCCTGGAGGACAGAAGAGGCCATTGGATCCCCTGGAACTGGAGTTATGGACAGTTGTTAGCTGCCATGTGGGTGCTGGGATTTGAACCCAGGTCTTCTGCAAGAACAACCAGTGTTCTTAACCGCTGAGCCATCTCTCCAGCCCCTGTGCCTGATTTTTTACATGGATGCTGGGGATCTGAACTCAGGTCCTTAGTCGGCATAGCAAGCACTTTACCAACCAAGCCCCATGCTCCCAGCCCCTGAAGATGTTTCTAGATATAGTTACATGGAGTATAAGCTCTCCATTTTCGGCTTGTCTTTTAGATGTTGTTTGGTGATTAAATTTTTAGTTTCAATGTGTTCACATGTATCAGTCTTATCAATAGATATTGTTTTGTCTGATTAGGAAATCTGTTTTCCATTAAGAATCAAACATTTTTGGTTTTGATATTATTATTATTATTATTATTTTAGTCTTTTTGAGACAGGGTCTTCCTATAGCCACAGGGTCTCCTATAGCCTGGAACTTTCTGAGGAGACCAGCCTAGCCTTCATCTCAGAGATCTGCCTGTCTCTGCCTCCCAAGAGCGGGGACTAAAGGCATGTGCCACCATGCCTTTGTTTTTGATATATAAGCAACTCTTTAAGTCATTTGGATTTTAATACAGCATGTGATAAGCTCCAATTTACCTTTTACCATATGAAACAATTTTTTTCAAATTCCATTTGTGAACATCCTCTGTAATATGGCATACCACCTCTATCATCTAACGCATGCCTAGTCTGTGCCTGGGCTTCACTCTCTCTCATTAATCCATCAATTCACTCATCCCTGTCAGTGACACCCTGTGTTAGTTATGGAGCTCTAATATCTGGAAGGGGGAGTTTCCTTCTCGCTTTTCTTCCTTACAACTATCCAGGCTAAAATTGGTCCTTTTCTTTTCCATATATATTTTAGAATCATCCTCATTTCACTTTTTTTTTTCAGTACTGAAAAATCAAACCTTGGGCCTCATGTACGCCAAATAAGTGCTCTGTCACAGACTGAACTACAGTTACAGCCTACCATCTTAATTTCAAAGGAATAGCTCTTGCCATGTCATTGGTTACCATCTTTAGACAATTTCAGTTTTTCCTTACCAATCTATATGCCTCTTATTTCTTTTTCTTGTCTAATTGCACTGGCAGG